ATTTTCAGCTTCAGATACCTGATACCAGAACCAACTCCATGGTAGTGGATTTTGGTTTTGTTTTGCTTTTGTGTATGGTATGGAAAAAAAGAATTAAAAAGAAAGACTAAACTGAAAAAGAAATTTGAATAAATGAGATGTATATCTTTCTATTGTAATTTCAATAGCTTATGTTAGTAATTAATCAAAGATATATTTATTGACTGCTTTAATGTGCCAGGCCTTTTGCCAGCTCAAGAAAGGTAGCGGTAAATAAGGCAGATAAGATAACCTCCATTACAGAATATACTGCTGATTTTACCATTAGGTGTCATGTAATTAATTAATAAACAGCCCTTAACTCAATTCTTACAACAATTTTATGAGAATGACTACCCTTCATCTTAGTTTATAGATGAAGAAGCTAAAGTTTAGCATATTGACCAAGGACCCAATAGTTGGATCTTGATCAAAGGAGGAAAAATTGTGGAACAGAGCTTAAAATTCTTACAGGAAATGAAACTTATTAAATAGCTTGAAAGCAGAGGACTCTTCAAATATATCAGCTGAAAAGAACTTTTAAGCCTTGAGCAAAAAATATACCATAAGAGGGGTTTTAAGGCTCCTTTAGGCTCACTTAATAACATATTCTTTAGCATTGCATGCTTTTGAATAATTATCTACTTCTGATTAAATGGATAAAAGTAACTTTAAACACCGAGAAAATTTTTTAGTTTAGTTAATAATAATGAAACACAGATGAGGCAGAGATAGAAAGCTGGCAGATCATCATTGAACTGTAATGTAAAAATGATTGAATGACTCTATTTTGTTGTGTATATTTTCATTTAAGAAGAGGAAAATGATGCAATGCAGAAAACAGAAATCCCTTGTCCACATTTGCATCCCAACTAAGCAGCTTTTGTTGAAGTCTAACCTAAAGGTTGTGCTTCTCTGCAGTTAGAAGCTACCGGTCGCTCGAAGGGAGAAAGAGAAACAATCTCTCATGCCCATTACAGCCTTATGAAAACCCACTGAATGGGCAGCTTTGAGTTGATGAGAATGAGGTAGAATTTTTTTTAGTTACCTGAGTCTCAAAATGTACTTTTCAAAAATTGTGTTTCCTTATACAAGCATTTATACACATCGTGTTTCACTCATGCATAGTGACTTTATGTGATAGTTCACATATGTTATGTTTTATATAATTAATTGTTATTACCTATACTCTTTATCACTTTGTCTCACTCTTGAGCAGTATTGACAAAGCTGCTTCCTAATGCCTGAAGCCTCCTCTCTCATAGTCTTTTCCTGCTTCCCTCTTTCCCTTCATTTCTTGTATTCTTCTCTCTCATTAAATGCTGGTGTTGGAGTGCATCAAGGCTGTATTCTCTCTTCATAGCTATTGAATCTGTATGCTGAGAATATGATTCAGGACTGGACTCTATACAGAGGAGTGTGGCATCGGGATTGGAGGGAGACTCATCAATAACCTATGTTATGCAGAGGACACAGTAGGGTTATAATGTTTCTTAGTAACTCTTCACCTAGTGTTTATAGCTTATATGTATTTTCATTACATGATTTCAATCATGTATTGTTGTTCTTATGTACCATTGAGTCAGGACCGACTCATAGCAGACCTTCCAGCAGGGGTTCAGAGGCTATAAATCACATGAGAAGAAACTATCCATTTTTCTCCTGTGGAGCACCTGGTAGATTCAAAACAATTGCCTTTGCGTTATCAGCGCAACTTCTTAGCCCTGGGCCACCAGAACTGTTTTGTTAGGTGCCATTGAGTTAAGTACGACTCATAGCGACCCTATGAACAACAGATCAGAACCCTCCCTGTCCTGGGGAGCTCTGGTGGCCTAGTGACAAGAAGCTGCAACTACAATCCCAGAGGTCCACAGTTCGAATCCACCAGATGCTCTGCCAGGGAAGGAGGGGCAATCTCCTCCTGTACCAGTCAGATCTGATTTGACGGTACACGCACACAAAAATAATAATAATAAAAAATAAAAAAGAACCCTCCCTGTCCTATCCTGTGCCATCCTCACAATCTCTGACACACTCAAGCCTATTGCAATAGTCTCTTCTCTGTGTCAATCCACCTGCGTGAAGATCTTCCTCTCTTTTACCTACCCTCCATCTTCCCAAGCATGTCCTTCTTCAAAGAATAACCTCTCCTAGCAACATGCCTAAAGTACGTGAGATGAAGCTTTATCATCTTTGCCTTTAAGGAGTACTGTGGCTGCATGTTCTGTAAGACATATCTGTTTTGCAAAAGGTATTGATTCTTCTTCTGCCATTCAAATTCTTTGTCCAGCTCTCAGCAGTGTAGTGAGTGACAGAAAAAGACCATGACTCAAATCAGATGCACCTTAGTTCTCAAATCGACACGCCTTTAAGAATATAAAAGGCAAAAAATTCAGTAACATTAGCTTTCCGAAGAAGGCCTCAAGGGAGAATCTTAGTAGTAATAGTAATAGTGGTAGCCGCAGTAGCACCAGCAGTAGTGAGTATAGCAAACAACTCATTGTTCTGCACTTAGAACCGACTCACAGTTGACATTCCAGCAGTTTTCCCAAGACTGTAAATTGCATGAGAGGAGATTCCTCATATTTCTTCCTTCATAGCAGCTGGTGGTTTTGAACCAAGTGCCTGTGGGTTGACAGTGTCACTCCTTACTCACTAGGCCATCAGTGCTTAGCCATTTGTTAAGGACGTTTGTATACCTGTTTCTCTTGAATCTCTTCCCACAGCAACTTTATGAAGGAGCTGAGCCTCCGGAAATGGAAATCTCATACTATTGTAGTTGTTAAGTGTCATTGGGTTGATTTCAACTTCCAGTGCCCTCCTGTGACATGGTAGAACTTTCTCATAGTGTTTTCTAGGATATAATCTTCATAGGATCAGATCAGCAGGCCTTTCCGCTGCAGAGATGATGGGTGAGTTTAAATTACCATCACTTTGGTGGGCAGTTGAGTGCAGAACCATTGCCCCACCAAGGCTTCTTCTCCTACTATTACAGATGAAGAAACTAAAGCCTAACAGTTACTGAAACAGTGGAAATAAAAGTCAAATCTAGGTTTTACAGGCTCCAAATCAAGTATCTAAGTGCGTTCTGTAAATTACAGAGGGTTATGCTAAGGTTTGTGCAAATGTTCATGACTTAAAAATTTCTATTATGTCAGGTGACTTACCTCGGAGTGGAGGACTAGCCAGGAGGATGGAATGAGGCAAGGTTGGTTTCCAATCACACTGTAGGTGGTTGTGTGATTGTTTACTCGGAATAAACCCCGTTTCGGTGTTGGCTACAATAGTATTTTGGAGTTCTGAACCTCTAAGGCAGAGTTACTGTATTTCACTCCACTGAGGACCATGGCAGACCTGACTGCTGAATCACAGCATGCTTTTCCACTGGGTTCAGTTTAATGTGACAATCCTGATCCAGGTCCTCTAGGTGGTTGTTGTTGTTGCTATGTACCCTCAAGTTGCTTGTGACTTTTGCCAATCCTATGTCAAGCTCTGAAGCCTGCTCTGTCCTGAGCCAACTTTATTGGCTCTGACACGACTACCTCCATTACCCCAGTCACTGAATCAATCCATCTCTTTGAGGGTCTTCCTCTCTTGTGCAGTCCCTCCACCCTTCCAAGGATGATGACCCTCTCCAAAGACTGGTCCCTCCTTGCAACATGCCCAAAGTATGCTAGATGAAGCCTCAGAATCCTTTCCTCCAAGGAGCAGCCGGATTTCACCCTCTCCAGAATAAACTTGCTTGTTTTCCTAGCAGTCCATGGTATATTCAATACTCTTCACTAGTACCACAACTCAAAAGCATAAATTCTTCTGTCATCTTTAGTCATTGTCCAGCTTTCCAATGCATAGTAAGTAAGACCATAACCTGGATCAGGAATATACCTTAGTCACAAGACTGACATTGTTGCTCTTCACTGGAGAGGTCCCTGACAGTAGATATTCCCAAGGCCATTTGTCTTTTGATTTATCTGGATGCTGGTACCAAGAGTGTTGATTTTGGAACTAAGCAAACTGAAGTTGCTAATCACCTCAATCTCTTTTTATTATTAGTCTTGTGCATGAGGAAACCAAGTATGTTGAGGATGGTGCAGTTAGTTGCTGCTAAGCAAATTCTGACTCACGGTGGCCTCCTAGACTATGACCATTTAGAAGTAGATGGTTAAATTTTTTCCCCTTCTGTCTGTGCTCTAAATGCAAACCCTTTTGCTTGTAGTCCAGAGCTTCACCATTTGAGCAACTCAGTCACCAATGAGAGACAGGGGATGGGAAGATTTTCTGAAATGCATTTGAAATTCTGTCCTTGACTCTGACTTTAGGGTACTGGCTTCTCTACAGGTTTCAACGTCAATCACCTGGACATTGCTCCTCGTTATGCCAGCATTCTCATGGGGATTTCAAATGGAGTGGGAACCCTCTCTGGAATGGTCTGTCCTCTCATTGTTGGGGCAATGACCAAGCATAAGGTAACAACAGTTCCTTGTCCTTGGGGGCTGTGGGCTGCAGGGACTTGATGGTGAGCACAGCACACACGGTGTGAGATCTCAGTTCCTGTTAGTATGTGAAGAGTGTGTCTTTGACCTTGGTTGAGTCCACTGAGTTTCTTTTTTATTTTTTTAAATCACCAATGCCAGTGGGTAGATTCTTGTTTAACCTCCCATTTCCTCAATTAAGAAATAGGCGGTGAGGGGGCAGGGCAAATGCCACAGAGACTGTATAGGGACACAAAGAAGAAACTGAGGAAATCAATTTAGGAGAAATGAATTACCCAGGTTGTGGTATAATTCTAAGCAATTAAAATTTATAGGCCATGTCTGTCTAGTTGCTCAATATGTTGCAACAAAAGAATATTAAGGTTGCCATAGCTCCTTGTTCTGATGGAAATAAGCAAGGCATTAATGGCCCTTTCTACAAGGGTGTGGTGTCCAATCTCTGCCAAACCTCTGTGTATTTAGATTAGGGTGGAGGGTCCAAGGGATCCGAGGATTCAGAGTTCAGCTGCAGGCCACAGGCCTCCTTTATCTATGCCTCTGAAAGAAGATTTCTCTTGCAGAATTTTTAAACATTTTTCTTTTTTTAATCCTGAGACAATTTTATAGTTGGATTGCCTGTTACAAACAGGCAATTCCGGCTTTTTAACTGATGAAAGCATAGGATAATCTTCTAACTCTTTATCAAAGTAGGAAAAAATACAAAGTTTGGGCATTTTATAGGCATCAAGCCAAATTTAAACATATTGATGTAGAGTTGGAATTGATTCACAGTTGGAACTTTCAGTGGGTTTTCAGAGGCTGTAAATCCCTTAAGAGGAGATTGCCCATCTTTCTCCCTCAGAGGACTTGGTGGATTGGAACTGCTTGCCTTTGGGTTGGTAGCATTACTTCTTACAAGACTACCTAGTGGAGCTCCTTTTTATAGGCATAGAGTCCATGTTTTTCCTCTCTGCTTTCCCCAACTTTGAATATAAATTCTGATTAGTATTAGTATTAATATTAGCATTTTCTCCACTTACTGTATTTTTCACAGAAAAGATAATTACAAATAAGAAAATATTATTACAGAGGTGGGTATTTTAATGTTCAATCAACATATCCAGCAGCGAAGTATAAGACCTCTGGTGTTTAAAATGGTGACTTTGTAAAAGAAGTTTAGTTCCGCTTTCTCTGTGAGAGGATAAGGAAGTCTGGTGGCATAGTCCACTGGGAACTGCACTGCTACCCCAAAAGCTGCATCTTCTCTTTGCTGGTTCAAATCCACCAGGAGTTCAACATCTTCCATGCAATTTAGAGCACTGGAAACCCAATGGTCAGCAGAGTTGACTCTGACCCCAACATAATGAGATGTGTGAGAAGTCTATTTGTAGACTTGGAACTTTGTTGAATTGTCACATATGTTTAAATGGGGTCTCTTCCTAATCCCTCTGTTCCCACCCTTTTCCCCCTTGGATTCCCATACATATTTTACTAGTTATCCTTCTCTCCCAAGTTATGCATTGTTATAGTTATACGCTGTTGAGTCACTTGCAACTCATAGCAACCCTATGAACAACAGCCCCGAAACCTGCTCTATCCTGTGCCAACTTTACTGTCTCTGACACACCTACCCTCATTATTCCAGTCACTGCATCAATCCATCTCATCGATGTTCTCTTTCTTTTTCTCCATTTCTTCACCTTTCCAAGCATGATGTGCCTCTCCAACTACTGGGCCCTCCTTGAAACATGCTCAAACGATCTCAGATGAAGCCTTAGAATCCTTGCCTCCTAGGAGCAGGCTGGCTTCACCCTCTCTAGGGTGAACCTGTTTGTTCTCCTAACAGTCCATGGTATATTCAATACTCTTCTCCAGTACCACAGCTCAAAGGCATCAATTCCCTTTCTATCATCCCTAGTCATTGTCCAGCTCTATGATGCATAGCAAGCAAATGCAAAGACAGATCAGGCACACCTCAGTCTTCAGACTGACATTGTTGCTCTTCAGTACTTTGGAGAGGTCCCTGACAGCTGACTTACCCAATGCAATTCGTTTCTTGATCTCCTGACTGCTGGTACCAAGAGCATTGATTGTGGAGGCAAGAAAACTAAAGTTGTTAACAATCTCAATCTATTTTTAAAAATTGTTGCTCCTGAGTGCTGCGTAATATTCCTTGTGCAAATGTATCACATTTTTTCAATCCATTCAATTGTGGTTGCACATTTGGACTGTTTCCAAATTCTTGTGATTTTGAATAACACTGCTATGAACATTGGTGTACAGATCTCTGTTCCTCAGTTCTAATTTCCTTGAGGTATATTCCTAGTAGTGGAATAACTGGCTCACACAGAGTTTCTATGTTCAACTGCCTTCCAGAGTTGTTGTACCATTTTATAATCCCACCAACAGACTATAAGAGTTCCTACCTCTCCACACCCTCTTCAACATTTATTGCTTGCTGCCCTGCTAAACTTTGCAACTGACTACATGTGTTTTTATATGTTGTTTTTTAAGAAGTATTTTTTTAATTTAAAAATTAATATTTACCAAGATTGTCTGATTTTTTAACACCCAAATTCTCTTTAATATATTTATGGGTTCTGCCTGTTACTTTGGACACATTTCTCTTGAGGAAGCAAATAATTGCCTTTGAAGTGGACAAGTACTTCCCTTTCTCCCCTTGCCCCCACCCTGCCAGATGAATTTGCTGGAATATTCAGGAAGCTTCTTGAGGGGTGCAAACGTTAATTGGCGCTCTCTTTTCTGTGCAGACCCGGGAGGAATGGCAGAATGTGTTCCTGATAGCGGCCCTGGTGCACTACAGTGGTGTCATCTTCTATGGAGTCTTTGCTTCCGGGGAGAAACAGGAGTGGGCTGACCCTGAGAATCTCTCAGAGGATAAATGTGGAATCATTGACCAAGATGAATTAGCTGAGGAGACAGAACTCAACCACGAGAGTTTTGTGGGTCTCCAGAAGAAGATGTCTTATGGGGCCACTACTCAGAATAGTGAAGTCAGGAAGAATGAGTGGAGAGGGCAGAGAGGAGAGACTGTCGATGAGGAAGAGCTGACATCCTACCAGAATGAAGGGAATCTCCCAGCTACATCCTAATGCCTGAGGGACACTTCACCTCCTCACTGTTGAACCAGAAAGTATCCATCCCTATAGCCTTCTCCATAGCTGGACTTGTGTCAGAGGACAAAATTTGGGACTACAAATATAGGCAGGGGAGGAGAAGAGATGTGATCAGCTGAAAAAGAAATGTTATCTTGCAATGCATTTACAAGCTTAGTCCTAGGTGAGAAAAAATAAATATGCATATTTCTTTTTGATTGGCCACTGACCCTCCTCTCAAAGAACTGAGTTTATTTAGAAAGGAAAGAACAAGGAAGACAATTCCATGTTGTTAAAGGAAACATTGGAAGAAACGAAGGTATTTGATCTGACAAGGGGAAGTCCAATAGTTGCCACCACTCCTCTGGGAGCAGCCTTGTACCAAGGGCTCTGTCCCTGATAAAGGCTGCCCGTGGTGGCCTTGTTTTGTGCCAGGTGATTTATGAACATGCTTTTAAACTCTCCATATCCCTCGGAGTTGCATTTCTTATCCCTGTTTTACAACTGAGAAAATCAAAGAACAAGGCATTAGATTATCTGAGGTTTTGCTTTGAGGCCTAGAACAAGAGTGGGTGAGATCCAAAACAGGGCATATCTGGGGAGGGCGATTTCAACTCAGAGTTGAGTAGAACTTTTCAATAATGAATGCTGTCTAAAATGGACATATCTCATCTCCTTGGTAGTTTCCTATTTTAAAGGCCAGAGTGGGTGATGGGAAAATATGCAGATGGATGTTGTAGAGGAGACTCAAACCCCATTGTTTCAGGGCTGGATTCAAAGACACTTACAGTCCTATGTGATATAAAGAGTCAAATGGGTCTGTAAGTTCATAGCCTTTTAAGACAATAAAGGCCATAGACACTATCTGAAAGATGCAAATATCTGGAAAAAATTATAAATTGAGTAAGCCAAATTTCCAGGAATCCAATGGCCAGAATGACTGTGAGACATTTAACTAAGGCGTAGCCATTAAATTAAACCCTTTGTGATAGCAGGACAGTGGTTAGATAATGTCTAAAGTGACTTCTAAACTTTTAAAACATTTGCTAAATAAAGAGGCATGTTTATTTGTCAGTTATGCGAGTTAATATTCTTCTGAAAGAGTCTTCTATTTAAGGACAAATATTGCATAATGCCACTGTTATAAAACAGGACTGAAATTGGGGGGAACTAAGAAAAGAGGTGATAAATAATGTACACTGTATTGAAACAGATGAGGGAGAAAATTGCTTAAACAGAATATATGATTAGGTATCATTTGCATGACAACAGTCCAGAACAAGACCTTCAGAGCAAAGTGGACTGAGGAGGCGTGGGAGGGAAGATAGAATTGTATAACAATATAGAATTTTTTTTTTTCAAAGAGAAAAGCAAACTGAGGGCTGGGGGGAGGGATTGGCAAGGAGGACAATGTCAAACAATGAATGAATGGAAATCCATGTTTTCTATAAACTTCATTAAAATCTCAATATTAAAAAAAAAAGAGTCTTCTATTTAAAAAAAAATCCCAGCTACATTATTTCTTTAAAATTTTCTGCTGATGACCATACTGGGAAGTTTTATCAAATTATAAGATATTAGGATGAAAATATTCCTAATGATTTTATTTCATATAATATTCAGGGAAAGAATAATAATAATAAAGCACTAGTTATATAGAGAATTAACTGTGGTGGCCTGTGAGTAGCATTGCTAACCCGTGGGGAGTATCTTTCTGGTAGTTCAAATCACCAGCGACTTCACAGGAGAAAGACAGACAAGCTCATCTCATCTTTTCTCATTCAATTTACACCTCGGAAAACCCATCAGAGGGTTAGCTATGAGTCAGCTCTGACTCGACGGCAATGAGCTTGAGTTTTGAGTTTTACAAGAAATTACTAGCATCTGAGACAATGTGATCCATAGTTAATGTTAGCAAAATTCATCTTTAATCACATAAGGCAATAACACGGATACTTTCAAACTGTATTTAATAATTTACTGCTGTTATGTAAAGAATAATGTAAAGATAAAATTCTACTATTGTTAATTGTTTTTGAAAATTTTATTTCTACTTTCAGAAGGAAAAGTGTATAATATTGTTGATGAAAAAAAATCCTAGGTTTGCTTGTTTAGTATTATAAAGTGATGGTTTTCTCCACCTTAGTTTCTCACATATATATATATTTTTTTGTCCTAATTGTTAAGCTGGAAGTTACAGTTTATTTCACTAAAAAAATAAGAATTTTTAAAAAATAAAAAGTGTCCTCTTCACTAAATAACATTCTTTAAACCAATGGAATATGATTTATGTTATTAGACATCTTAAGCTTATTTAATGAGTGAATTAATATAAACTTCTTAAAACATTTGCTGGCATGTAGAACGTGCTCAATCAGTATTAGAATCATTATCTTCTTTAAACCTTTTTGATAACTTTTTGGTTGGAAAGAAAGTATGCATGTCATTTTCAGCCATTAGCCACAGAGTTCACTGTGAAAGTTGTATTGTTTTCTAAGTAAAAAGAAATTTCAATGTTTATGGTAGCAGGTGGCTTTTTCTTGTGTAAATGAACTAAAAAAAAAATGTATAGAAATCTTACAATTATCCTTAAAATAATATTGCAGATGTGATGCATAACTGTATTTGCAGCATCATTTAAGTGGGCACCATATGCAGCATTTTCACATTTTGATAAATTGAAGAACTTAGAGGCTCCATAAATCACCCTCATGCTATTTTTGTAAAAATCGAACTTTGGATTAAAAGCTAGGAAACACATGATTCTGTTGTGATGTATTTTGTCTGGGGAAGTTATTGGACAGATAATCATATTTGAACACCAGGCAGATGCAATTGCTGAGTAAATGTACATTTTGTGCAAAAGTCCATTTGAGGCAAGGCATGCATTCTAGCAGGGAAGAAAGGAGAGAGATCTGAGTGTGGTGGATTCCTGAGAATAGCTTCCTAGGAATGCCTTAACAGAACACTAAGATACGGGTGGCTTCAAAGAACAGACATTTACTGTTTCATAGTTCTACAGGCTGGAGATCTGAACTAAGGATATTGAACAGTCCGTAGAAGAATATGGATTCTTGTCTCTTACAGCTTCAGGCAGACCCAGGCATTTCTTGGTATTCTTTGCTTTTTATTTAGATGCTTCCTCCTTTCTTACGTGACCTTATATTTATGTCTATTCTCTTTGTAAATGACATTACTCAGATGGGTTTAAACCCAACAATACCTTGTCATGGAGGTGATCTTATCTCCAAAAGAAGACTTTATAGTAAAAAAAAAATATATTTCATTCATTGGTAAGCAGCAACTGAGAGAGTGGAAGATTACAAAGTGCCATCATGTGTGCAATTGGTCTCTCCTCATTAGGAGTTAAAATAATGAAGAAAATGAAAAGCAGATATTTCAAAGGACTAATGAATCATGCTTCGGGGGGAGAGGGGCAAATGAACTCTGGGAGGATATCAAGAAAATCGTCCATGAAGAATGCAAAAGATTATTACAAAGGCTGAAAAAGAAGAAAAGATCAAGATGGATGTCAGATGAGACTCTGAATATTGCATTAGAGCGCCGAGAAGCCAAAGCTAAAGGAAGAAATCAAGAAATCAAAGGGTTAAACAGAAAATT